CGTTCAAACTGCCATATAGACATGTATTTTCATGTAGCAGAGCAAAGTAGGGCTTCAAATTCCCTATTTCAAGCAACCTTTGAAAGTAAGAGTTGGTGTCATAGCAAGTAATAGTTCCCCTGGGTTATCTGAAAGGACCGCTCAAACAGTCTGCCCTTTCCCCATCGCGTCTACGGAAGGCCTCGCCCTGACCCTGGCTTTGCATCTTACCACCCTCCTCCCCTAAGCTCTGTGAGGTCCCAGCCAGCTGCCCGCTTACTGATTTCTGCACATGTTCACAACTTTGCTTACGTCACTGGGACACAGGGCCCCAAGCTCCTTCCTTTCCTCTTCTGGTGGTTAGTAGGTCAGGGCTGTTCTCTCTGCACCAGGGTCTGTGGGTGGAGAGACTCATTCAGATCCAGCTTCCCAGTGTGTTTACGGATATATTCCACATATAGTCTTCAAGATCTATTTGCTTGTCTCTCTTAATTAGGTTTCCTGGTGTGCGAAGGACCCGATTTTCTATTTCATATTTTTACCATCGTAGGGCCGAGGTTGCTGCAATAAACTTTATGGGATTTTGGTAAATATTAGCTGACAATTTCTAGAGACATCTATGAGCTTTTATGATCCCATGAAAATTAATCAGAATATTTAGTACCTGCTGTGAGCACAACACTCAGCTGTTGGAGGAGGGGCTCAGAGAGGGTCCTTTCTTAGGGACCTGAATTGTATTTGGAGTCTCAGGATTTACAGTCCCAAAGGAATCGTCATACCACTAAAGAAGTAACTGGTGCTATAGGCTTTTAGGGAAGGGGTGGAAGGTGGGGGTCTCACCGTCAGGTAGGTGGTTGGAACTGTCACTGGAGGCTGCTGGTAGGAACTAGGGACTCCACCGAGGCTTGTTAAATAGGGAGGGTTTAGTTAGAGGTCAGCAAGGCAGGGATTTCAGGTCAGTGAATAAATCTGAGCCAAGGCAGAGCCAGAATTGAGCACAGCATGTTCACGGCCTAATGAGGAGACTGCTGACCACAGTGAAGGTGAACCGTGCGAAAGGCTAGGCTGAAAGCTGGTCACAGGAGTTTAGGCTGGATGCAGGGGAGAGGAGGGGCATTTTATGGGTAGAGAAGTCACGTGAGGTTTCTGCACACAAGATGGAGAATTTGTGAGAGGTAGGACAGAGTCGATGGGGTGTCTAGTTTGTGAAGGGGTGAGGTTGTTGAGGCCATGCTGGGATCAGGAGAGAGCTCTGAGCTGGAGTGCATATAGATGGCCACATTTACAATGCCAGCTTTGTGCCCTGAAGTGGGAATGACTTCTATCTTTTTTTTTTTTTTTTGGTTTTTCGAGACAGGGTTTCTCTGTGTAGCTTTGTGCCTTTCCTGGGACTCACTTGGTAGCCCAGGCTGGCCTCGAACTCACAGAGATCCACCTGAGTGCTGGGATTAAAGGCGTGTGCCACCACCGCCCGGCTTTTTTTTTTTTTTTTTTTTTTTTTTTTTTTTTTTATGACTTCTATCTTAAAGGCATGGGGAAGACTACCCTGAATCAGAGGGCAGTGATACAGCTGAGTGCTTGCACATGTGGTTGGTTTAGAACTAACATCTATTTTTTTGCATTAAAAATTGATTAAATTAACTCTGACAATTTCATGTGAATAGTACACTCTGTTTTTCTTAGTCCCAACCTCCACTGTCTTCTTCCTCTTCCCGTGGCCTAGTCTCCTCACCATAGGTTCCTTCAGTCACACTCAGGCCTTTTTGGTCTTTGTTGGGACCTTCTGATTTTAACCAGAACCCTCTGTGAGGCTGAGTTTGGAACTATCCAGGGGAGCGTGGTGGGCTGACTGTCTCATACACCACTGGACGCAATGGTCGCCCCTCCCCCAGGATCCCAGAGTAGCTGTCTTTCTTCCAGCCTTTCCTTAGGTCTTATTGCCTCAGTTGTGTGGTTTGGGACAAGTTGCTCAGCTCCCAGGTGTCACTTTCATCATGTGCAAAATCTGAGAATTGACAGTCTTTTCCTTACAGGCTTATTATGGGAATGAAATGAGCCGATACAAGCAAAGTGCCAGCGTTAGAACAGGACATACAGAAAACCTTCAGAAATATTAGCTACAACTTATTTCCCAGTAATTTACCTTATCATGGGAATATAAGTATATTTAAATTACTCAAATGGGCCAAAGCATGCAGAACTGTGTAGAATGGGAAAACAAAACAAAACAACAACAACCCAGAACCCAACTTCTGCCTCAAAAAAGAAAAAAAAATAATAACAAAACAACAAAACAAACAAACAAAAAAAACAAAAACCCCCAAAACCCCCCAAATCCTCAAAACTTGATGATGACATCAAAAAGACGGAAATCCCAGAGCTTCAATTCCAGGGACTCAGTGGGTACAAGCATTTCATGCCAAGCTCGAGCGCCTGGGTTCAGTCCTGCCCTCTCCACCCCACCAGGTGCAAGGAGACAGTTGACTCCAGGCAGGCTGTCCTGTGACTTCTACATACACACAAATAAATATAATAACATTAAAAAAAAACCCTTCAGTTCCATAAACTCATCCGTGTCTTGAGTGTAGAATCCAAACCCCACACTTCAATCCTGCCGGCTCTCAGGTTAAACACCCCTACGGGTTCCCCCTGCAGAGGTGCCCTGGATGGTGTTAGCCAACCAGCAAACAGCCCTTCTTCCACGGGGTCTGAGACTCCTCCCTCCCGAGTCCACATCAACCGTGCGTGCGCACCTGTTTATTTTCAAACGGCTCCCACCCTGAACACGAGTCTCTCTCGAGCTTTCTTTCGCCCCTTCCCACAGCTCACTCTTCCTGCCCTATAAAATTAGGGCAGTTTTTAATAGGCTTAAACAAATTCTTAGGTTTACAGGGAATTTACACAGTAAGTAGAATTTTCATGTCTCGGTTTCCAACAGTTTCTCTTATTACATCGTGTATTGATGTGGTACATTTGCTACCAACGTTGACCAAATACCAACGGGTTATTATTAACTAAAGTCTGCAGTTTATATTATGGTTCAGGTTTGTGGTGCACAGGACCATGGGTTCTAACAATTGCATAATGCTCTATGGCCATCACTTTGGTGACACACAGAACAGCTCCATTGCCCTGGGCCCGCCCCTTCCTTGTCCTCAGTTAAGAAGCAGTTAATCAAGAACTGAGCAAACTTCTCAGAGTCGTCAATTACAAGGACTCCCTAGGATCCTTGCAGAGCCTCCTCACACTTGTTATAGCTGGGCTTCTGCTCTCCTCACTAGGTGGCTGTCCTTGAGGAAGGGGCTGTGCCACAGATCACCGTGGTGACACCCAGCTTAGACAGCGCACGTAGGAACTGGGCTGTGGGCCAGTATGAGCATGACATGTGGTATAAGTCTGCAAAGGCTAAACTTTAAACCTGGAATTCTGATAGTGACTCGAGCTTCCTTACGAACCTGTCCTTTCAAAGGATAAGTTCGTTGAGGGGAATCATCTTACATCCTTTTAGATTTCAGCTAAGCATTGGTCACAGGTGAGGTGGCTCAGGCCAGCTTCTCTTACAAGCAGGCCACAGGCTCTTTCCCAACCTTGCCGCTCTCCAAAAAGCAAAGTAAAAAAGCAGACAAGCGCGGTTGTTTTCATCTTTCCTGACTAGTCCCCCTCTCAGGAAGAACCCCGGAGCTTCATTCTTCCCAGGTGGATCCCCAGCAACAATCAAAGATGCTCAGTGTGTCGTCTTTGAGCAAGGAGCACCTTCCCATAAACATTTATTTTCTTAATTCACGCTGAGCCTTTTGCTTTAAAGACACTGTTCTCAAACGTTCTAAAACTCAGTAGGAACAAGCAGATCCGAACAAAGGCAAATAAATCGAATCCTGCAAAGTAACAAAGCTGACGCCTTTTCCCAACAGCCAGCACAAAGCTAAATGAAAAATATCAGTCATCCACTAGATACAGTATTTCCCCCCTCTAGACAGGAGCTGGGCCTGTAGACCTCCCCCACTCCAAACAGGAGGCCGAGAAGGTACAAAACAGTCTTCATTCCTAAACGACTCATCTATTTGAGCTGCACTGTATACCTCTCGGCACTTGAAAGACCTTGGCTGTCACTTCTCTGTACCTGCCTCCAAACACACGTGGAGGTGGTGGTGAGAGGGAGGGAGCCCACCGCCACGTATGCAAAGGGCGAGCGAGGGTGCGGAGGAGGGGGAGTCAGGGCTGAGGGCAGTTCCCCGAGGACAGTCAGTGCTCCCTAAAGAGCAGGACTCCCCCATTCCTCTGCACCCCCAAACTGGAGGAAGCGGGGGTGGGGGACGCCTGTCTGGTCCAGGCAGAGCCAGCGAACCGTGAGCTTTGATGCGGCAGCGGCGATTGCCTGCGGACACCTGGGTTCCCGAGGGGGGGGGTACGGGGGGGCGGGGCCTCCCCAGGTGTGCCGCGAGCCTGGACCACCTGAAGTCGCCCAGGGGACCCCAGGAGCCCCAGCAGCCTCCGCCCAGGGACGCCCTGCAGAGGAGCGGCGCATCCGCGCCCCCAGCAGCAGGCACGGGGCCCCACGGGCCTGGCTCCGGGAAGGGGCGCGGCGCCGAGGGGGTTAACCCGGCGGCTGGCGGCTGCAGCGCGCTTAACCCTCGGT